TGTTTCGCTAAATACACCCTTAATGTTTTTAATTCCTCACTTTGTTTTTGAAAGTAAATCAAGTATGTATTTAAAATATTTATTTAATAAGTAATAATGAAAAAACAAAAAATATATATTAAAATTTAACATTTAATGTCATTTATATATTTGTCATTTTCCTACTCACAATTCATAATTTAAGGAGCAACTTTATCTTATTATGTTGATTAACTTTTATCTTTATAATATAGTTGTCAATTTATGTCCGGTCAGCCCATAAATAAGGTCGGTCTAAGCCACAAAAAAGATAGCTTAAATAGAACGAAGTCATTTTAGCTTAATCCACCAAGTCCGATAAACCCAATAGGCCTAGGTTAAGTTGTCCCACAAACTTACAGGTTGACTCGTTAAACTAATAAGTGGAATAATCTAAACTATTTTGTAAATTTGTAATGTATAATAAAATAAAATATAATAATAGTAATAGTCTTTTACTTTTTTATGTTCACTTATAGAGTTATGATTATAAGTTTAGAATTAGGATTAGTTGCTATAAGAGTTTTGCTACTCTCATTACATCGTTGATGACTTGACCTTGTGACTAGTCCTCTCTATTTTATTTATCAAAGAAGAAAAATACACAATCACACTCGTGCTTGTGCTCATGGAGTCATGATAAAAGTGAGATTAGGGATATTAATGATGAAGACAAGATACTGAAAAAAAAAACTAAAAAAACTAAGTCTAATACCTCTAATGTATGCAATTATTATGAAAATTGATCTAGTTAATGCAAATGCAATGATTGTGGAAAATTGTATACATGTAAATCTATTAAATGTTTCATGACATGATTTAGTATCAATTAATCATATTATAATTTTTTTATTGTAAAAAATAGATTTTATTTTTTAAATGTGTTTCTTTTAATTAGGCTAATTTGGCCTGATGCCTAACATGGGCCAAGTTGGGAAAAAAAAATAAAAGCCTAAAAATAAAATATAGGTCAAGCTAGTATAACCTAAAATAGTATTTGGTTCGTGTAGATTAGGTTAGGTCAGACTAACACAACTTATTTAACACCTTATATTTCAATATACTAAGATATATATAATTGTATCTTCACAGGGTACAGTGGTAATTTTATCCTTATTTGTAAATCTCCTGGTCCTCATCCTTCAAATCTTTTGCCCTTATCTGTTGCCTTGCTACCCTTGACCTTACCTAATCGAAGAGATAAGCCTTTATCCACTGCCTTGCTATCCTTGACCTTACCTAACCGAAGAGATAAATGTTTTTAGTCTTATCTATACGAACTTGATAAATGTCTTTGACCTTACTTATCCGAGAAGGGAAATGAGTGTACTTACAAAAATCACTCCAACACTCAAGTTCACAGTCTTAGTTAGGGTGACACAATTAATGTTATAATAAATGTGAACTAAAAGCACCTTAATACATCATTATTTATACTAACCTTATTGAAGTGTTTGTTTGGATAGTCCTTAGAAGGGATCTAAGGAGTCTTCGATTTGTCTTTCAATCAAGCTCTACCAATATTCTTCTACTTTATTCTTAAAATACTTATTCGAATAGTCTTCAGTAGGGATCCAAGGAGTCTTCAATTTACCCTCTAACTAAACCTTAACAGTATACATACCCTCAAACTTTCAAGATATTTCATATATAAAATTAAGGAAAATCTAATCAAAGTGTCTCTTCAAATATTCTAGTAAACGTTACACCTCATTAATTTCTCTAACAACATTGACTTTGAAATGCTTTTCCTATGAATAATCATGCCTCTTAGTTTTCTTTCTTTCTTGAAATGAGGTAGGTGTTTCTTTTTGCAAACATTCGAAAGGTTGTTTATTGACAATTATTGATTTAACTTTTAATTAGATGATTGGCACCCTTAGTATTATTTGTTCCCCTCCAATTTCTATTACTATGAATAAAATTTACTTTTATCAAATTTATTGTTCTAACACCGACTACTCTCCAATAATTTCTTGTTCTGACACCGACTACTCTCTTATAATTTCTGGCTTTGAAACTGAGTACTCTTTTGTTTTTTTTTCCTTCTGAATTTCCTACTTTAAAAGGTAAACATGAGTAACTCTTCCTTTCCTTCTTTTGAACACTCATCTTCCTCTGCTTTTTATTTATCTTCCTCATATGAAAGTGCTCCTTCTAACGTCATATTTCTTTTGAACACTCGTCTTCATCTAATTTTTTTTATTTATCTTCCTCCTCCGAAAGTGCCCCTTCTAACGTCATAATAGAACCTTCCGCCGAACCTGAGAACCTAGACCTTGATTCTACCGAAGACATCTACAAATCAAAAATTGTCCCCAATTTTGAATGGATTCATGATGTTGTTGCTACCTACAACTCATTTCAACGACCCGAGATCCCTTTAAAATTTTGTAACTCATGCTAAAATTTCTTCTTTTTGTCCAACGAGGATCCATTTCTTATATTTGTAAAATGTTGTAAAATCGATGCCTATCTGATCGAGACTTCATCTTTGCCTAAAAGAGCCCTCAAGATAAAACCAATATACTTCTAAGACTGCGTATAACCTAATTCGACAACCAACCGAGTAGATTTATCATACCAGTAAGTCGGTTACAGAACTAGGATAGTTAAATTAAAACGGAAGAACTTGAAGATTTTATTTGAAAGTTCTTAAGAGTGTATTTGGATGGAGAATTTAGATAAAGTAATTCATTTATTTGAAGAATTTTAAATTCTTTGAAGTGAAATACTTTGTTTAGATGAAGAATTTAAAAAGAATTTAAAATCCAAGTATTTGTAAAACTCCTTGAAATAATAGAATTTTAAATTCTCTAAAAAATGTAAGAATTTGAAATTCTTCATTTTTTTTTTCTTATTTCACTTATATATTTTATCTTATCTTTTCATATTTGTAATTATTGAATATTCAAAAATAGTTTTAAAATTATTAAATACTATCTAATATTAATTTTTTAAATTATTAAATATTTAAAATTGACTAATATTTATTTTTGTAAAATTTTATTTAAAAATCTCAACATATAAATATATTTTTAAAATCAATTTACTATGATAGAATCAAATTATCGTATCTAAATTAACAATTTTAAATTTTAAAAATTTGAATTAACTTATCCAAACAAAACATTTTAAAAATAATAAAAATTGAAATCAAAATACTTCAAATATTAAGAATTTCAAATTCTTTAAATTTGTAAAATTTCTCATCTAAACATACCATAAAGAAATTTAATATTTATTGATTGATTATATGATTCGGTATGTATTTGTCTTGGGATGATGCTCTGATATTCAAGCAAGTAAATTATACCTCCTTTCATGAGAACTAGTTTCACGCCCTAGTCATACTGCAGTCGTGAACAGTTACTGATTATATGGTAATCAAAATGGCATTTCAGAGTAACAGTTACCGCTCAAATCAAACAAAAGAGCAATCAAATTCACTGTCTGTGATACTCTTCGTAGTGGAAAAAGATATTTTATAAGAAAACGAAAAGACTGAAGCCTGATCATTAGTAGTATCCCGCCTATTATGGAAGTGTACAACTACAAAAAAAATGTAAAATTATAGGATGCTCCCCCCTCTCATCTTAGCTACTCCCTCGTTCAAGATAATAGTGGTGGTATGTCGTGTTTTGTTTGAACCTTGAACCATATTTTGCGTGAAGCTAATCAGCCAACAGATGTTTACTAAACTTGATTTATCCCTTCATTTGCGATAATTTAGTTTTCTCTTCAGGCACCAGAGTTTCTGATTTATCCCCTATTGCCTGGGGAATATTAATGAATTGTGTGGTGGGACTGAGGACCCTCCCTATCATAAAAAAAATGTTTATACCCACTTTTGCAATGATGCACGTTTAGCAATTAACACCCTCTCATATCTCAATGGTTGTCGCATACATTAGGGAGGTAATACATAGACTGTTACATTTCCAAAACAGCCTTAGTTTCATAGTTTTCAGGACATTTAATATCGTTGTGTTTGTTGAGTACAAAACACTCACGTCGCCAAGCGTGATCAGTTGGAATCTGTTCAATTATAATTAGAAGACTCAGAACACTGGGGACCCAGAAGCGCAGAAGGAAAGAAAGGTGAGAATGGGAAGAGAATTGCTGAAGCGACTCCAACTAAAAACCAGCAACAAAATACGAGAAAATTGTTTGCTGATAAATTAGTCAGGCGCTGAGAACAGGAAGCATAGTAGACATCATTTACAAGGGCAATATAGGCAACATCTGTAACCGGAAATCAATATAATAATTAACCAGGCATCATGCAGGTGCTTGGAGATTTAAGTAAGCAAAAGGAAAAACATCAGACGATCCTTTGTTTTAATTCCCCTGATTTGTAGTAACAAAAAAGGGACTTGTAATTTGTAATTACAAAAGTACTCATCATGACAGGTCCTTCCATGCTTCTGCCGGTTATTTTGGGCACAGATGATTTACAAGGAAATGTTTTGCAAAAAACTTAACCACAATTCAAAAGAATGGATGTAGTCCAACTGCAAATTATGTTTTGTGAGTAGTTTGGACATGTTTCACAAATCCATTCCAGTACACTATTTTGTAAAATAAGAGAATAGGAAATGAGAACTAGATTATTATTTTTAAGTAGATCCAATATGACCATTTCAATACTTTCAATACATTGTTTGAGTATAATTATTCGAATTTGAAATGAGTACTAAAATATAACTTAGGCAAATGCTTATTTGTCAAAAAGAGCTGGTCTAAACTATTTAAGGGAAAATTCGTAAAGAAAAATGGCTTAAACAAAAGACAAGGCACACGATCGGCAAGAGAAGCATTATGAATGAAATCCTATAAACAATTGGTACTACAGTACTACCAAGGCATGAATAAGAAGCGACCATCCCTATGTACAACAGAAGCTAAAAAATGAGCAATATTTACCTAACGAATCAAGAACTGGAATGAGGAGTTTTGGAGGCCATGGCGGCCAAGGAGTCACGGAAAGCCAAAGCCTGAGAAGAGACGGGCTCATCATGAGGCGTGGAAGGTGCAGTCTCGGAGTCTTGAAATTCGGAAGCGAGGGCGGAGAAATCCTCCCTCATGAGCAAACAATTGTGAAGAATGGAGCAGGCGGCGATGTAGGCGACGGTCACACCAATTTGCATAGAATATGACAAGAACTGGGGTTTCACTTTTCAGAATCGAATTTTCCCACAGGTCTTTGGTAACTGGTGCAGCTGCCATGTAACAACTTCACATAATTAAAAGACCATCTTTCGATTCAAGCCACAATACACACTAACATGCCATAAATGAAAAAATTGAAACAAACAGACAAAAAAACATGAGCCTTAAATCACAGTGAAATATTTCAACATTAATTCCCTCCTTTGTCAGGAACGTGGTTACATAGAGAGGGAAAATTTTCTACTCATTAACAAACACTTGTTTCAGACTTCTACATGGTTGACTCTCGTCTTTTTCTTTTGAGGCAGAGGGGACATTTTCATGATTTAATTTCAAACAAACTAGCAAGTCTGAAAAGGAAACAATTTAAATATATTTGAATATACAACAATAACATCAGGTAGCCCAAGCATCCAATCCTATTGATATAATAGCCAAAAGAAGCGGAAGGGCGTGGGGACGAAAGAACTTTTCAAGCTCTTCAGATGAGAAAACAATTATGACAATTCAAATGATCAAATTAGCCTCAGTCCTAAAAAACAAGAGGAAAAAAACTATTACAATAATGCTAGCAATTCAAACTAGGAATGAACACAATGATGAAATATCAACTAGGCTACACAATTTCCTTGAAATTTAAATAAGCAAGGATAAAAGATCAAAAGGATACTTAGGTATATAATGCTTCTGATCTGTAATTACGAAAATATGTCATCATGACAGGTCCTGTATGCTGGATTGTCAGGTTGAAGCAAGATATAGGCAATAAACTATATGTTACGTGCCTGTCCCCCCTGCCTCTGCATGTTATTTTGGGCACAAATGATTTAAAAGGAAAAGTTCTGCAAAACTTAACCACAATTAAGAATGAATCTATTCCAACTGCAACTTATATTTTGTCAGTAGTTTGGACATGTTTCACATATTCATTCCACTGTGGATACAATTTTGTAAAAAAGAGAATAGGAAAGGAGGACTAGATTCTTATTTTTAAGCAGATCCAGTATGACCATTTCAACACTTTCACATACATTGCTTGAGTTCATTTCTTCAAATTTGAAATGAGTACTAAAATATAACGCCTAATATTGTTCTTTTCAGTCACTCCAAAAGCTAAAATCACATGGTAACATTCTACAGACCCTACGAAAAGCCCAAGTTGGAAAATGCTAAAAAGTATGAAAGTTAAGGATCAAACAGCACCCTTTAAGTGGAAAATGAAAAATACATTAAAAAAAAAAAAAAAAAAAAAAGTCAGGGTACACGATCGGCAAGAGAAGCATTATGAATGAAATCCTATAAAGAAATTGTACTACAGTACTACCAAGGCATGAATAAGAAGCGACCATCCCCATGTACAACAGAATCTAAAAAATGAGCAATATTTACCAAGCGAATCAAGAACTGGAATGAGGAGTTTTGGTGGCGATGGCGGCCAAGGAGTCACGGAAAGCCAAAGCCTGAGAAGAGACGGGCTCATCATGAGGCGTGGAAGGCGCAGTGTGGGAGTCTTGAAATTCGGAAGCGAGGGCGGAGAAATCCTCCCTCATGAGCAAACAATTGTGAAGAATGGAGCAGGCGGCGATGTAGGCGACGGTCATCTTAGGGTCCTCGGCGAGGGGTTGGGAGAGGACGGCCCAGTTCCTCAAGCTGGCGGCGGTTCTGAGGGCGGGAAGGCGCATGAGGCGGTGAGCGGCGTTGAAGTTGTGTTGGAGAGAAGAGGGGAGAGGGTGGGGGAAGGGGACCATGAGCCAGGGGAGGAGAGGGTAGTGGGAATCGGCGATAAGGTATTGGCGAGAGGGGGCATTGAGGAGGGTTCCGTTTTGGATGTCGGAGAAGAGGGAGGAGGATTTGAGGATTTGGGAATTGGATTTGTGGGAGGGGAAGCCAGCGGCGAGGGTGAGGATGCGGAGGGAGGAGTCGACGACGAGCTGGGCGGCGAGGGAGTGGAAGCGAACGCAGAAGAGGATGCCGCAGCAGTTGGGGAGGGAGGAGAGGGAGTGGAAGGGGAGGGAGACTTGGCGGAGGTCGGGGGGGAAGGAGAGCCAGAAGCGGAAGTTGGTGCAGAGGACGCGGCAGAGGTGTTTGACGCAGAACTTGGCGACGGGGAGGGGGACGGAGAAGCGGGCGGCCAGGGAGGGGTAGTCGGAGGCGGAGGCCAGGCGGGAGAGGCCGATGGCCAGGCGGAGTGGGGCGGGGAGGTTGAGGGGCGGGAGATGGGCTGGGTCTCGGCAGTCGAGGAGTGGCTCGAGGAGGCCGGAGAGCCACTCGAATGTGGAGGAGGTCATGAGGAAGGTGTTGCGGAAGGGGTCTGGGGTGCGGGTGAGGGGATTGGGGGTTGGGAGAAGCGCTTCTAGGGAATTGCGTTTGCGTTTGCGTTTGCGTTTGCGTTTGCGGGTGAGGGTGAGCGCGAGGGTTGTGTTGAGATGTTGGGAGTAGAGGAGCAGTGGGAGTAGGGAATGGGAATTGGGATTGGGATTGGGATTGGATGGGAAAATGTGAAGGAGGAGGAGGAGGAGTTGGGAGATGAGGGAGGAGAGTATGGCGGCTAGTTTGCGAGATTCCATGACAGATTTTGGATTTGGGGGAACGGAAACCGAGGTTTCTTGTTTCTTTCTTTCTACAGTCAACTCACTCTGACACACCTTCCCTTTCATTGGCTCTAACCGTATCACCACCAACCAACCTTCCATTTCGGCGCCCCCTTCCCTTCCCAAAACTTTAAGAACCTTCTACGCCCGCATATTCTACCATAATAACATTTTACGCTTCACATTCCTATGCAACTATATAATATAAACCAATAAATTCATAAAACACAATGCTAACTTTTACAAATTTTATCTTATTTACAACTAAATCATATACATAATATTCATTTTTGCCGCTGATAAATAAAAAAAAATGAATACTTTTTATAAAAAAAAATTATTATCGATGTATTTGTAAAATAATTAATGGATTTGTAAACACGGTCTTAGTAAAAAAAAAAAATAGTTGCTAGACTAAATTATAGAATGTATTTAATTTTTTATTTAGAAATATTTAAAGTATGGGATCGCTTCTATTTTAAAATATTATTTATATATAGAAATGTTTTAATTTATTTTATTTTTAATTTAAAAATAAAATAAAATCTTTATCCAAATCTCTTGATATCTTCATTAAATAAAATGACAAAAATACTAGTAGAATAAGAAGGCAATTTACTTAAATATACTTATATTTTCTAAATTTGTGAGAATTAATAATTTTTTAAAACAACAATGAATGCTTAATATTTTAAAATCAAAGTATAGTTATGTAAATTTTTAAGTTTTACCAAATAAATTTGGTTTCTACTTTATTTATTGAAACTTAAAAATTATTTATACTACAAGAAATGTTACATATTGTGACATATAAAAAGTATCACTACAAGTATAAAATATGTAGGTATAAATCAATTTAACATGTAATTACATATAATTTGTGTTAATTTTGAATAAAACTTAATAACATATATTGTGTATCACTATAGTTTATATCTACATTTTTAATAATATACTAACATATATTATATAATGTAGATAAAAATAATTTTTTAGTAATAAATATTGTGTCGGTATATAACAATTTTATTTTTATTATTATCTTATAATAATAAGCATGTTAAAGAAGAGTATTAAAAAATATATAAATAAGATTTTTATGTTTGTATTGATTCATACTTCATGGAAAATTTTCAATTTGACTATAATTTTTATGTTTGTATTGATTTTTTGTGACATACAAAAAATATTATTATAAATATAAAATATGTAGGTATAAATCAATTTAATACATAATTACATATAATTTGAATGTTAATTTTAAATAAAATTTAATAATATATATTGTGTATTACTATAATTTATATTTACACTTTTTAATAATATACTAATATATATTGTATAATATAAATAAAAATAATTTGTTAATAATAAATATTGTGTCAATATATAACAATTTTATTTTTAGGCTATAAGCATGTTAAAGAAGAGTATTAAAAAAATATATAAATAAGATTTTTATGTTTGTATTGACTCATACTTCATGGAAAATTTTCTTTTTATTTTAACTTTTTATTTATAGCGATTGACTAAAATAAATTTCTGTCATATAAGGAAAATTTCCAATTATTTATAGAGAATTTCTACGGTACCCTCTGTAAAAGAAGGGTACCGGTACTGTCGGTGACGTGTCGATGATGTGTGATCCAAATCACTTATAATTTTATAATTATTTACAATTCAATATCCACGTCAATTATAATGAAATTCACGTTTTTTAATATTTTTTCGGAGTGTTTGCTTCGTGTTTCTTCCTCTTTTTTTTTGAAATGTTTGCTTCGTGTTTCTTCCTCTCAGCGGTAATGGTCCCCAATAGGGTTATCACAGGGCTTGGGAGGGGAACCAGTGAGGAGCAAGATGCGGGGTTTACCTCTCACGAAATTAGGGTATTCGGGGTTTTGGAGGAGCCAAGCCTTGCGTTCTTCGTCCCAATTGCGGATCTTGGGGCCCAGGCTGTAGGTCACGTTAGGGTTCAAGGGGGCTTGCTCGTCGGGGTCGTTGGGGTCGGCGTCGGAGCGGATCTCGGCCAGGATGCGGTTGGTCTCCTCCACGAGATTCTGGTTGACGGCGTCGGCGTCGGAGGAGCCGAGGTTGACGCCGATGGTGCCGCGGAGGACGAGGATGTCGTCAGAGACAAAGGTAACCTTGGAGGAGTCATGGTCGACGGTGGAGAGGAGGGAATAGTGGAGGGCGGAGGAGGAGGGGAGGGAGGAGTGGTAAATGGCTGTGGCGAGGGAGTTCAAGAAGTAGGGAGTAGACGGACCCGGGTCCGCGGACCGGTCCGTAAGTCCGCGGATTTCGCGGATAACGGACCCGTTTTTTTCAAATCCGTATGACTATGTCTAATTTTTTAGCCCGGCCCGTGAAGTCTGCGGACTTAGCGGATTTAATCCGCGGGCTAGCGGGCTAGTCCGCGGACTTCACTAATTAATATTTTTAAATATTATGATTTTAATATTAAGTTGTGTATTTAATTTTTTAAATTATTATGACATTAAAATTATGTTTAGTTGGTAGGTATTTGTCATTTGAATTACTTTTATGACATTTTGATGCTTTTATTATTGAAAGTTTGGTACTATTATTTAAGTATTTGTAATTATTTTTATTTTAATATTTTAATATTTAGTATTTTAAACCATTTTAACTATTGATAAATTTTAGTATGATAAAATTTAGCTTATAAATAAAAAATATTTTTTTCTTCTAATTTTATGTATTTTTATTTTTTAAAAATTTATTTTTTTGAACCATTATTTAGGCCCGCGGACCGGTCCGTTATCCGTGGATTTTGGCGGGCCGGGTACGGACTTAAAAAATAAGTCCATTTATTTTACGGACCGGACTTATCCGGCCCGTTTAAAATGCGAGTTTTACGGACCGGGCCTTAAACGGGCCGGACCGGTCCGTATACCCACCCCTAGCTACAGTACCAAAACCCCTCATTTATCAGGGGTACAGTAGCAACTCCCTTATTTATATATACGTGTGTATATTCCGGTACTGCATTTTATTCTGATGTCATATTTAAACATTTTAAATTAATCTCTGAAAACTATGGCTTGTAAAGAAAAATGTAATTAGTAAACATTTTTTTTTTCCTTATCAGTCGAATTCGAATTAATTTTTGTTTATCATAAATTGCTCTATTCTATGATAAATCACCTAAGCCACGTTGGGATCAGATCAGTTAGCCGTAACTTTCGATTATTAATACTTCAAAACATAATTACTCTAAATATTGGTGGTAGAGGTGTAATCATGAATTCATGATGATTTTGCTGAGTATTAACTTATTCGTGGTTAATATAATCATCCAAAATATATTTTTTAATTTTAACGTAAAATTCTTTATTTTAATCTTTATACAAGCAAGTTCAATTTTATCATATATTGGCAGTAGGGATGGAACCAGAGTTTAAAGGCTACTAGGGACCCAACTAAAAAAAATAGTCTAATGAATATACACGTTAACTCATTTATATTAAATATCAACCGTTATTTTATGTAAAAATATTTTTAAGAGATTTTCTTCGACGAGTATATTTTTAGAGAAAAAAATTAATTTTTTATTTAATTTAATTTTTATTTATTATAATTATCAATTAGATGAAGACTCAGCGTCTGATGCTGAGGACAGTTAACCCATTGGGAAGGCTTTAAAAAGAAAAGCTTTGCTACCTCCTCTCGCACCACCTCAACCCACAAAGAAAAGGGTCATAAAGCTTGCATCAAAGGTGGTTGCTGAACCTACAACTGAAGTTGTCACTCCTTCAGCTTAGACAGAAATTCTTGTAGTTGTTTCCTCTCCTCTCGTCACTGAACATTCTCCTTTCATAAGTGACATTTCTATACCTTCCCTTCTTTTAACCTCTTATAAATCTTATCTGATCTAAAACCTCGTTATAGGTTGTTTCTGTAAATTCTGTGGCCTTAAGGAAAAGAAAAATGGTAATTAGGGCCGATCGCATGATCTTGCCTTCAAGACCTATTCCTTCTACTTTAACATGGCGGCAAATAAAATTGTCGATTCTGGAAGAAATGCACCCAAAAACAGATCTTTATTCCATCGTTTTTCCTAGAGATGCTGACCTAGAAGGAAAGGCTGAATTGCTTAAGGATGTCCAACTCACCACCAACAAAGACGTTATAAAGAGGAATAGAGTTGGTCTGCATCCAAAGCCACGTCCATACATCATTGATCGGATGATCAGCATGCTGTTTGGACTCTACCCTATCAACTAGGCTGGGCACTATGTATTGTAGAAGCCCACCAAGCATGCCCTAGGGTACTAGAGACCAATGTACTCTTGGCTTAAAGATTAAAGATTAAAGAACAATCCAGATGCCTTTCGTCTGCGTACTATCTTTTTAAGCACTTCCCAGCACTTACTGTCACTGACCCTCACGGTCAAACAGTTGAAAAAGAATATTTTTCATCGTATCGAAAAGAATACCCTACGCCGGTGTATAAATATGAAGAAGGGGAGTACCAGTACGCACCTTATTGCCCAGACATTCCTTTCTCTCCGTCTGAGGCCTACCTGGCTCTCCTTGTGACACCCTCTACCCCACATACCATAACACAAATAACAAAAATTGAATAACAATTTTTTTTTTCAAAATTGAAATACCAAACATGTTTAAATAGAGGGTATCACATCCATAACTTAAACAGTAGCTTAATCAGCAGAAATTACATAGAAATAATATAAGGTATTCCTAAATAATTTAATAAAAATATTCTAATCTAATTCTATCTATGCCCCGATGTCACATGTCGTATCAGAGAAAATCCCAACATAGAAGCCTAAGCTTCATCACCAACATCCTCAGTCTCATGCTGATAATTATCTGTAAGACAGTCAAGGAAAAACAACACAAGAAAAGGGGGTGAGAAACATCTCACTCTGGCTCAGTGTAGAAATATACATCGAATAGCCAAACACAAACAAAACAGGTATAACATAGATGATTTATGTTTAATATATAAGAGTTGAAAAATAATTATGATAAATAAAAATTAAATTAGATAAAAGATTATTAAAAAAAAACTCTTTAAAAATCTCAATGAAAAAAAATTCTTAAAATATTTTTTGTACAAGATAAAGATTCGTGTTTAATATATTAAAATTAATTACATAATAGAAGATT